TGGATCCTGAATGCAGCATGAAACCCTAAACCCCAAACAGCCAGGGTTTAGGGTTTAGGGTTTAGGGTTTAGGTTTTAGGGTTTAGGGTTAAGGGGCCGAGCAAAAACCGGGAAACCTACGGCAAAGAGCCTCCGTAGGGCACAAGCAGGGTGGGGGAAGGTCGTTTCCGCGGCGCGAAGCGACGCGAGCCAGTCCTACCCCGCCCGCCCCCCCAACAAGCTCAGCAAAATCGACCCATCTATTGGGGCTACACCCTGAAAGCCTCGAAACCCTGGTGAGAGTTTCGACCCTAAACCCTAAACCCTAAACCCTAAACCCTAAACCCTAAACCCTAAACCCTAAACCCTAAACCCTAAATATTCGGTTCTTAGGAATTCCTGCAAAACCTCCCATCGCAGCCAAGGGGCCTCTCCGCTTCCTAGCATTTGCGCACGCAGGGTTCGAACCATTTTGGGGGAGCCACGTGAAACCCTAAACCCTAAACCCTAAACCCTAAACCCTAAACCCTAAACCCTAAACCCCCAAAGAGGCTTCATGGTTCATAGACCTCAATAGGAATTATCATCGTGTCTAGGGTATATGACCCCTAAACCCAAAACCCAAAACCCTACACCCTAAACCTCAATAGGAATTATCATCGTGTCTAGTGTAGATGACCCCGAAACCCAAAAGCCAAAACCCAACACCCTACACCCAAAACCCTATAAACTCAACTTTAGGGTTCGTTTGGTCCCTAAAGGGGCATCCTTTCGGGCGGAAGGCTCAGGTTCTTGGGAGTCTACCCTAAACCCTAAACCCTAAACCCTCAACCCTCAACCCTCAACCCTAAACCCTGCAGTCTTGTGCTTGCTTGTCTTTTTGAGCTTAGGGTCTCAAGTGCTACACACCTTGCGTGGGGCCTTGAGGCTTTTGCTTAAGAGACTTTTCGGGCTTTTTGGCGGGAATTTTCGGATCTTATAGGGCTGTTTTTTATCGTCACTTCTCAAAACTGTGGTCCCTTTTGGGGTCTTGATTACAAGGCGGCCCCTCTGATTTGGGGTTTAGGGTTTAGGGTTAGGGTTTAGGGTTTAGGGTTTAGGGCTTAGGGTCTAGGGTCTAGGGTCTAGGGTCTAGGGTCTAGGGTTTAGGGTTTAGGGTTTAGGGTTTAGGGTTTAGGGTTTAGGGTTTAGGGTTTAGGGTTTAGGGTTTAGGGTTTAGGATGACCAGATTGCAGCTGGGCACCTCCTTCTGCCGGCCCGCGTCTTGCATGACGGCCTTGAGCTGCCAGAGACAGACCCGGAAGCCAGAGACAGACCCGGAACCCCAAACCCCAAACCCTAAACTTCCGAAACCCTAAACCCTAAACCCTAAGCCCTAAACCCTAAACCCTAAACCCTAAACCCTAAACCCTAAACCCTAAACCCCAGACCTTAAACCCTAAACCCTAAACCCTTAGCCCTACACCCTCAACCCTAAACCTAGACTCTAAGGTACCTGTAAAGGGACCTTCCTCAACCCTAAGCCTACCCAAAGGCTCCTATGTAGTACCTTTTTGGGGTAGCATACTAAAATCCCCTATAACTAACCCAAAAAGGAACTACATTGGAGCCTTTGGGTAGACTCTAAGGTACCTCTAAAGAGGGACCGTGCGTGAAAGGGAAAAACTCAAAACCCCCCCTGAGTCTCCGTATGGACCAGCCCTAAGCCCTAGAAACCCTCAAAAGGGGGTCCTGAAGGAACCTATCCCTAAACCCTTCAGACCCTGAACCCTAAACCCTAAACCCTAAACCCTAAACCCTAAACCCTAAACCCTTCAGACCCTGAACCCTGAACCCTCATCCCCACCCCCTGCGCGGTGACCCGCCTTGAGATGCTTGAGCTCCAGGCGAAGGTCCGACATTTCAACTGCCAGGGCTTTTCGAGGTAGGCTCCGAGTGTTCAAGGTGGCTTCGATAACCTTGCTTGTATCCCCAAACAGGGCCTCCTACACACATGTACACTCAGCAATTCGTACAAGGAACTACAGAACTACGCATACTCACCTAGCACGGCAACATCTTGCCGACTCGTATATACTACTGTATGGGAGAGGAGCCACTGAATCTTGGATGGCATGATGCTAGCACCGTAGAGAGCCCTGGAACTGTGACGACCTTGCAGGCCTCAAACATTGGGATTTGGGGTTGAGGCCTTAACTAGGGTTCGGGTGGAGGGTTTATAGTGTGGAGGGTTTAGAAGGTGCGGGGGTATGTTGCCAGGCGTTCGGCGTTTTCTTGAGGTTTAGGGCTTATCAGCTTTTAGGGTTTCCCTCCACATTCGGTCACCCTGCAGGCGTAAGTAAAAACCTAAATCTTCAGTTGTACTACCGATGACCACTTGTTCGTAACTACTAGCTTGCACTGAGCCCTCCAAACAGAAGGCCCCAAACCCTCTCACACCCCAACAGCCCTGAGCCCTGAGCCCTGAACCCTAAACCCTAACCCACAAGAGGTAGGCCGCAGACCTTCAAAGCGTCTCGAGTGAAGCTTTGCCACCTTCGTTTTGTTTGCGGGGTTTGGGCTGGGATTTAGGGTTTAGGGTTTAGGGTTAAGGGTGTAGGGTTTAGGGTTCAGGGTCTAGCAACCATTTTGGGAACTGGGACCCCAGCATCGACCCAAGATGAACAAGAAATAAGAAGGGCGCCACTTTTGGTTTAATGTGTTTTATGAGGGAACTAAACCTCAAAAAGGGGGTATAAGGGCTTACTAAAGGCAAAAGGGTTCCACTAGGCTACCAAAAAATAGGTATGCTTTGCGGAGGGGCCGAGGGCTTTCGAGGCTTTCGGCATCATAGGGCTTAGGGGCTTTAAGTGGTGTTGGGGTTTAGTTCACCCAGGGCTATTTTTGGATTTGGGGTTTAGGGCCTTACAGAGTATAGGGACAGAAACCCCAAACCCTAAACCCCAAACCCTAAACCCTAAACCCTAAACCCTAAAGCCTAAAGCAACAAGGGCTACAAACCCTAGACCCTACGCCCTGCAGGTTTCGATGCCCAGGCTTCCTAGGGCACACTTACTCTAGACCCAAGAGGGAACCTAGGAATACGTACCCCTAAACCCTAAACCCCAAACCCCAAACCCTAAACCCTAAACCCTAAACCCTAAACCCTAAACCCTACACGGGGTTATAAACACCCATGAACCTCCAAGTAGAACCTCGGGGTCGAACGAGGGTTTTTTGGTCCGTTTAGGGTTTAGGGTTTAGGGTTTAGGGTTTAGGGTTTAGGGAGGTCCCCCCCACAAGAAAAAGCCTGCCGTTCCTTTGCTTCATAGGCGCTTAGAGACTGAGAATGGGAGCCGACGCCCCAAGCGTTCCCCAGTCAGGGCGTGTTAGAGTTTAGAGGGGCTTAAGCGCATGTGGCTTTGCTCCAAAAAAATTCAACACCACCAGCTGCCAAAACCCCAAACCCCAAACCCCAAACCCTAAACCCCAAACCCTAAACCCTAACCCTGAACCCTAAACCCCAAACCTTAAACCCTAAACCCTAAACCCCAAACCCTAAACCCTCCCAGCGACGAGCGACCTCAGCCTCTTGACTCGAGCGCTGGACCTGCGGAGATCTGAAGGTTTTGACGAGCTTTGCAGGGTTTCGGGGGGTTTTGTGGGGGTTTGTTGGGTTTGTGGGGTTCAGGGTTCAGGGTTCAGGGTTCAGGGTTTATGGTTTAGGGACCTTCTTTAAGGGTTTAGGGTGTTGGAAGGGGTTGAGTTTAGGGGTTTGGGTTTGCAAGTTTTGGGATCTCAGCTTGGCAATGGCACTGCGCTTGCTGTCCGGCCTTTTTGAACCATAACCCTGCACCCTAAACCCTAAACCCCGAAACCCCTCCCTCACCTCCATCTCCATGCCTGGAAACCCAAAAGCCCAACTGCATAGTATTAGTAGGGGATCTGAAGTGTGGGCCCTCAATTTAGGTCCCCTGTTATATAACCCTTATGTACACTATACGTAATAAGGGCCCATACTTCGGATCTCTTTAAATCCCGTTTAAACAAGGGTAAGGGACCATAATTACTAAGGGCCCATGGTTCCAACCTGATAATTAGGGTTTAGGGCCTAGGGTCTAAGGTGTTCAGGGAATCGGTGGGCTCAAAGCTATGAAGCCCTCCGCGTAGACCCCGCTCGCAAGGGAACTTATCACGCTGTGACCCGTGAACCCTAATCAGCCACAAGTCAACCCCAAACCCCCAACCCCCAACCCTGAACCCTAAACCCTGAACCCTCATCCCCTAAACCCTAGTGTCGGGTTTAGGTTCTCCAGGGCTTGGTGTTTAGGATTTAGGCCTTTTGAAGGGACGACAGCACGCTGCATGGATTCCCCTACTACCCCCCTAGGTTTCCCCACATGGTTAAGGCTTAGGGTTTAGGGGCTATGGTTTATGGTTTAGGGTTTAGGGTTTAGGGTTTCGAGATCATTAAGCTTAATTGAGGTGATTTCAGGTGGGAATTTTTCGGGGGGGAACCCCAAACCCCAAACCCCAAACCCTAAACCCTAAACCCTAGGGGGGCTAGTATAGAGGGGGGTTGTAGGGGAACCCATGAAAGATGCAGTTTGCCCTATTGGCCTCCTGCTTCATCTGCTCGACTTGCAGTGCGTCCTCTCGACGGGAGAACCAAAAGGGGTTGCTTGGCAGTTTAGGGTTCAGGGTTCAGGGTTTAGGGTTTAGGCTTAGGGCATAACTAGGGTTATGAATAGGGCAACTATGACTGGAACCATCATGCTACTGCCAACCCTGCATACTGCCTACAAGTACCCATGAACCTTCAAGTAGGCGTTCTGTTCTTTTTATAAATTGTGTTTCAGTGGTCAATCAAGTCGCTGGCGGGATGTATGAGTTAACCTGCATTTCTTTGTCTCTCTCCAGTTGCATCTTCGTCGAGTGCAAGGGTTGATGGGGCTAGGCGAAGCCTCTGCCACTCAAGTCATTCCCCCTGCAGGCTTAAAACATCTAACCATTGGAGGGCGTGCTCGTATTCGGGCACAATCTCAGAAGGGAGTCACCTTGCGCGCTTTGAGGTACTCCTGCAGCTGGGGGAGAGCATCCACCGCCTCCAGCGCAGCTTTCATCTTCGGGCACTCCTTAATCCCTGTTCCCCTAGGAAGAAAAAAAGGATCCTTTTTGTCCATATATAAGAAAGCCCATAACCCAAAAAGTAAAAAGGATCCCTAACACTGATCTAGACTCCTGGAAAGCAGCCTTCGCGCCCTCGGTGTTGTCGAAGAAGCATCCGGGGGCGAGGAGGAGGGTGTAGAAGAGCAAGTCGGCAGCCGACACTTTGCCTAGTTCATTGTTGGGATAACATTAAAAAATGTGTCTTTTATTCCTTATTGGGTGTTAAGTACCATTAAAAAAGGAGAATGTTACCCAACTATGACAAAGTTGCCACCAACCATGAACGGTCCAGGTCCGGCGGGGAGCGACTTTTCCGCCAGCTTGCACCAGTTGGGGAGGTCTTCTGCGAACCACTTCTCCATGCCCTTCTTCTTCTCTTCCTCGTCTTGCAGCCCACGAACCTGAGCCATGAAATCGATGTCGTTTAAGATGACCATCCAGTTACTTATATGGGGTTCATGCACCCACGCCAGCGCAACAAAAACTCCCAACCAAGACCCCGGAACCTTCTGGTATGCATCCTTGATGTCGCGGACTGTCTCGCCGAGCTGGTCGACCTGTTTGGTGGCCCAGGAACCATTTTTTCCTAAATCAGGGCACCCTTGTTTGGGGGGCTGGTGATACTTTAGAATAGGAACCTTGCACCCCAAGAAAAAGGGCCAAAGGGCACCACTGCCTGGGGGACCAGATGAACCCCAAAAGGGCTTAGGCTTCATATACCCTACAAGGAAGCCTGTACATGACCACATCTTGAGGGTTCAGTTTTTGATCCCCGAGGTGGGGTGCCCTAAACCCTAAACTCAAGGCCTAGGCGGCCCCCTGGATCAGGGGACCGCGGGACCCTTTGCGACCCCTAAGACGGACCCTGGCACCCTCTGCACCCGGGGAACTGGCCTGGCATCGGTAACGGAAGAAGTTGTTTGGAAGTAGACAATGAACTTGAGTTTAGGGTTTAGGGTTTAGGGTTTAGGGATTAGGCTTTTTTTTTTTGGGTTTAGGGTTTAGGTCCTAGCAAGAATTTCAGTTTGGGTGGCTTTGCCGCCTGGGACGGCGTGGGGTGGGATAATAGTGTCAGATGGCCCTCCACAACTTGGCAGCCCAGTAACCATATTATAAGAAGGGCACCCTTTTTGGGTTGGTTATGTTATCAGGGAAACCATAACCAGAACCAAAACAAAGGGTAAAGGGTACCACTGGGCTACCAAGACAATCGGGCCATGGCTGCTCGTCGCATTTCACCGAAGAATTTCGAGGCTGGCCTGCATCCCAACCTTCACAGCTTCTGCGCCATACCAGTATCACAGCCTAAATCCTAAACCCCAAACCCCAAACCCTAAACCCGAACCCTGAACCCGAAACCCTAAACCCGAACCCTGAACCCGAAACCCTAAACCCAAATCCCTAGACCCTAAAACCTAAACCCCCCAGGTAGGCTACCCAAGCCTGTGCGCCCTCAATGGGGCTGGAACCAGCCAGCCCAAGCTCCCGGGAGAGGAAGCGCTCGATGGCCTTGGACTGTCCAACCTTCACACCGTCCACCTCCTGGGCTGGTTTAGGGTTTTAGGGTTTTGGGGGTTTTAGGGTTTAGGGTTTAGGGTCTAGGGTTTAGGGTTTAGGGGGTTTGGGGGTTTGGGGGCTTCGCGGTTTCGGGTTTTCGGGCTGCATCTGCTGGACGCTGATGTTTCTGGACATGATTCCGTGCAATAAAAGGCCGGCCCATGCAAAAACACTGCAACATGTTAATGGATGTGAAAAACTGCTGAAGGATGTGATGCTCTCAAACCCATCTTCACGAAAAAACGGGAAGTATAAAACAGATGCCCTAAACCCTAAACCCCAAACTCTGAACCCTAAACCCTAAACCCTAAACCCTAAACCCTAAACCCTAAAACCCTAAACCCTAAACCCTAAACCTCAAACCCTAAACCCTAAGCCGAGAATCCAGAAGCGGAACCTTGCCCAGAGAGATGTCCAGCTCACCCTTCGCCTTCATCTCGTCAAACCTTGGGGTCAAAGGAGCCCCTAAAAAGGGTTTAGGGTTTAGGGTTGAGGGTTTAGGGTTTAGGGTTTCGGGTTTCGGGTACAGGGTTCATTTATCTTGCAACAGCAGATTTCGTATAAGGTAGATGACCCCAATGTTACGGTTGGACCAAGGAACTCCGGGCGCTTGATGGTGCTGAAGTCGCCAGGTGTCCCAAACGAGAAAGAAAGCCTGGCATCTTCATCCCTAAACCCTAAACCCTAAACCCTAAACCCTAAACCCTAAACCCTACACCCTAAACCCTAAACCCTAAACCCTAAACCCTAAACCCTAAACCCGAGGGCTGCCTGACATCCTCATAGGGCTGCTTCGCCACGGCGAAGAAGATGCGTGCATTCTCGGCGAGCCCGCGGATGTCGAAGTAGGTCAACCTTGGCGGCGAAGAGTTTAGGGTTTAGGGTTTAGGGTTTAGGGTTTAGGGTTTAGCGTTTAGGGGAAGCCCAAAAGGGCTTGTAGGGTCGAAAACCTTAAAAGGGATGAGGGGTTTAAGAACGAGGGCGAGCTTAGGGTTTAGGGGTTAAGGTTTATAGGGTTTATAGGGCTTACAGTAGTATGGGGCATATGACCCCCAAGTCTTTGGATGCTAGTGGTAGAGGGTCTATGACCCCCCAACTGAAAGGGTTCATTTGGTCCTCAAGGAACTTGTAGTTGGTAGTTGAGCATTTCATGTACCTTAATTGGGCTTGTAGTAGTATAGGGTGCATGACCCCTAAACCCCAAACCCTAGAAACCTTAAACCCAACTTTAGGGTTCATATTTGGTTCTCAAGGAACTTGAAGTTGGGCATGGTCTGGATGCTCAAGGGCTACTGGCTGATGCCGCTCTCAGACGCGCTGCGGGTCCTTCTTGAGCGAAAATTGCTACGGACCTGCTCTCAAGGGAGTTATTCTCGGACCCCCAAGGATGTGCACCTATGAGGTTTCCCTTAATCTGCTCCTACTATGGCCCTTATATTCCCGTAAGAAGCTTTAAACAGGGTCCGCAAACACAAGGGTACAACCCAAGGGGTCCGAGGTAGAGTCCCATGATGTCCAGCCAAACAGACATGGAAACCCTAATCCGCAACCCTAAACCCTAACCCTAAACCCTAAACCCTAAACCCTAATCCCTAAACCCTAAGCCCTAAACCCTAAACCCTAAACCAAAGAAAACCCAAAACCAGGGTTCTGGGGTTTTCGGCCCAAACCGGCAGAGGTTCGTCCTCTTAGGGGCTGAATACCCCTAGCCCAAAAAATGTTAACCTTATATATATATATATAAATATATTAGGACTCTATATAAAAAAAAAGGTTAAAAGGTTACCTACACCCTACACCCTACACCCTAATCCCTAAACCCTAGTAGACCCTAAACCCTAAACCCTAGCCCTAAACCCTAAACTCTAAACCCTAAACCCTAAACCCTAAACCCTAACCCTAAACCCAGTCCCATGTTCGTCCTCGAGCTTGTCAGACAGATGTTGCAGGGAACACCCGTCGAGGCACGGAAGCACCTCGCAGCGGCTTTTGGAAACCCTGAGAACCCCTTTTTGGGGGTTTAGGGTTTAGGGTTTAGGGTTAGGGCTTAGGGCTTAGGGTTTAGGGTTTAGGGTTTAGGGTTTAGGGTTTAGGGTTTAGGGTTTAGGGTTTAGGGTTTAGGGTTTAGGGTTTAGGGTTTAGGGTTCATGGCTGGCAAGCCCCCCCCCCCAGCCCCGATCCCTCAACAGGACCCAAACTTAATCACAACCATTTCTTGGGCTTACTGTAGGGTTCAGGCATTAGGGCTTACATGTCAAGTTTACGGCTTGGGATATTTGGTTGCCCCAACTCCACGAATAAGCTCCCCAGAATAATCGCATCGACACTGTTCGGGTTTACGTCTCCCCAAAACCCTTTTTTTGCAGGCGGCTTGAGGAATCTATTGTCATTGGCTCCTAAAGTATTTCTTGGGGGCTCTTAAGCTATACGACCTCTAAGCTCCCCAATCAACCAAGAACCGGGAAAACACCTTAAAAAACAACATCTTTCGCCCTGAAGCCCCAAGGCCCTAAGCCCTGTGGAGGGTCCCACCTTCTCATCCAACGTGCTGCGCACCACCGCAAGTTGTTGCGCCACAACTGCCTGAACAGGAAGTCCAGCTTTGCTAAATGTGCCTTAGGGTTTAGGGTTTACTGCTTATAGTGTAGAGGAACCCTAAACCCTAAACCCTAAACCCTTGGGCCATGCTGAAACTCGTGGGGTTTGGGCAGCCTTGTCGTGTTTTGGCTGTGGGTGGTTCAGCTCGCCACTGCCCTGCCCTACACCCAAACCCCTCAACCCAAAACCCAAACCCTAAACCCTAAACCCTAAACCCTAAACCCTAAACCCAAAACCCTCGCTGGAAGGTTCACTTGTACCTGCAAGCAGCTTGCAAGTATCCCAACTAAGGGGTATAGCGTGGAATGTTCCCCTTTTACTAGCAGTCCTTAATGGGGATTATAAAAGGGTGTACTATAATCTCTAGTAAGGACTGTTAGTACGCGCTACTAAAGACCCTACCTCCCCCAAAGTCGGCCCGGGCCCCCAGAAGCGTCAACAATCTGCAGAAATTAGGGTTTAGGGTTTTGGGGTTTAGGGTTTGGGCTTTGGGGTTTGGGGCTTAGGGTTTGGGGTTTTGGGTTTGGGGCTGCCAAAATAAGGCCCAAACAGGGCATGTACTATTTGATGCCCTGAGCCCTGTAGTGCGTGAACCACGGTAACCCCAGACAGCAACCATGTGGGGCTACTTCAATTGTCAACAAGCACCGTCAACTTCTGCCCTCTAAACCCTAAAACCCTACCTAAACCCCAAACAAACCTTAAACCCTGAGCTCTCAACTTCCCACCCTTCTGAAGGCTCCAAAGTCTCATTAAGCTTCAAACCCTGAAACTCTAAATCCATAAAAGCTTCAAACACCTAAGTCCTATGATTCAACGACCACAGAAAAGACAAACAACAACTCCAAACAGAAACCCCGCAGCAACAAAGCCAAAGTTGAAAAACATACCTGAGGAGGTGTGTGTGTGTGTGTGTGTACGAATCTGTGTATGCATATCTGTGCCAAAAAGTCTATATAGTAAGTATATAACTCCTAAACCCTTTACCCCTGGATCAGCATCACCTGGATCGTGTCACTGAGCACCCGAGCAGGAAAAACACACAAAAAACGGTGGATCCAGGGGGGGGGGGGGGTACCATAACCCTAAACCCTAAACCCCAAACCCTAAACCCTATTTATACCTAAAAAAAGTAATAGCATATATATATATATATATATAACTATAGATAAGGGCCTCCACCGCCTCCCTGGGCGCTCCGGGCGGCGGCGCGGCGGCGGCCACGGCGGCGGAGAGTCGCTCCGGCAGCACCCGGAGCTCCGCCTTCTGTTTCTTGGCGGAGGGTCGTCGGGTTTAGGGTTTAGGGTTTAAACCCTAAACCCTTAAACCTAAACCCCAAACCCTAAATCCTAAACCCCCTAAACCCTGAACTCTAAACCCTAAACTCCCAACCCTAAACCCTTAAACCCCACACCGGTATAGGGCTTCATCGCTCCCTAGTCCCATGTGCCGGAGCATGATACCGCGGAAGCTCTGAGCGTGGCCCTTCCGAAGCAAGTGTAGCCGCCTAGACTTCCCGCGGCCCACTCTTTATAGGGTTTAGGGTTTAGGGTTTAGGGTCTAGGGTGTAGGGGTACCCAATCTTTCGGTTGCAAGGACGCATGAGGACACAAAAACTAGGGGCTTCGATTGCGAGTCTCTCCTTATACATACACTTGCCAAGACCTATAGCAAAACATATACAGGGTGGGCCCCCTTATTACACTACCTGTAGTTAAGGGAACTGTAACCTAATTTAGGATCCTGATAACCCAATTTAGGGCTCTTATTAGGCTCTTGTCACTCTACTTATAACTAGGGGGCCCCACCTTGTATGTATATGCACTTTCGGGCCCCTACTTCACATTGAGTCAAACATGTTCCATCATTGAACATGGTGATGACGGTGATGATCCTAAACACAAGGGTATTCAAAACAACTCAAGATCAGACCGATGTTTAGCTGGGAGAAAGCATATCTGTATCCACAGACAGGGCAGTCATCGAGGGTTCAATCTCAGAGTGTAGGGCTTCTTCTCCTTTCCCTGCTCCCAGAGTCAGCCCCTAAACCCTAAACCCTAAACCCTAAACCCTAAACCCTAAACCCTAAACCCTAAACCCTAAACCCTAAACCCTAAACCGTGAAAGCTCTTGCCCAGCCTCGATGTCTCGGAGGTAGTCCGGAAGCCGCGCCAGCAGCGAGTTGTTCGCTTCACCGAGCTGCGCAAGGAGAGCATGACGTTGCACCCTCAACCCGGAAACTTTAGGGTTTAGGGTTTGGGGTTTAGGGTTTAGGGTTTAGGGTTTAGGGTTTAGGGTTTAGGGTAACCCGAAACCTGGGACTCTGTTTACCCACAGGTTTTATGGGGTTGTACCTACGAATTACAGGGATAGTTGCTACGAAACTGTAGGTAAATAGAGTCCCAGGTAAACCTGACCTTGCCTGTCATCAGAGATTCTTTGCAACCACTCGGAGGCATCAGGTTGTACGGGTCTAGAAGTCAAGTTCGGGCTTAGGGCTTCAGGCTTTGTGAGCTCGCGAGGCTGCAAGGTTTAGAATCACATGCTGGCTTCCGGAACTACTGTAAGGGGGATTCTGCCCAACTTGGGAGAATAAAGAGGGACACTAGTTAAAAACCTCGATCTCTCATAGAATCAAGGAAGATAAGGGTGGTTTTCGAAATTAGGGCACCTTCTGGGGGTCCTTATGATAAGGGAATCCTAATTTTAGTGTCCCCTAGTTGCGCAAAGACCTAAATGGGGGGGGCGTTGCGAAACTAGGGGACCCCTAAAATAGGAGGATTCCCTTGTCATCAGGAGCCCAATGAGGTACCCGAATTTCGGAAATCACCATATGGTCAGCTGCACAATGCAAGGGGTCGACATTGGCCACAACTCAGAGAGGAGTGGAGTCTCCGGGCTTGGAGGTTCTACAGGAGGGTTTAGGGTTTAGGGTTTCGGGTTTCGGGTTTAGGGCTTCGGGTTTGGGCTTAGGGTTCGGTGAGTTGGACAAAGCAAGGACGCCCCCCCCCCCCCCCCCCCAAACTCTTACGAAGCCGAAGCCTCTTGCTTCAGCGCAGCCGTCACCTGCTCGACGACTTTCGCCTTTCGGCCCACCAAGGCCAGGGCTGCAAACGTTACTACCAATCTTGGCTGCACTTATCACGGTAGCTATAAGTTAAACTTTTAGCTGCCTTGTTAAGAAACCCAATAAACCCAAAAAAGGCCAAGGATCTAAAGTTACAGTAAAGCACCACAAAGTAATTGCTTAAGAACCCCGAACAGAATATTCTTCCTTGTTAAGGGTAATATAGGGATGATGATTCTTTGTTTACATTCTTTTGGGGTTCTGAGGCAAGTAGTAGGTTGTGGTTGTAAGTTGGGAGATGTTCCCCCCTTATTCTAACAGTCCGAAGTAGGGATGATTGTAGGGGTGCTACAATCCCTATTCAGGACTGCTAGTATAAGGGGGGACATCCCAAGTCATATATATGTATGTTGACATAATTGACATATATATATATATTTATATTTACGTTGTAGCTGTTTGCTTAGGCTTTGGGTTCCTAAGGTTTCTGGCATGTATGAAAAAAAGCATGTTGGGAGCATCACATGGTGGGCTCCTCGCAAGTTCGGTCCCTAACCCTAAACCATAAACCCTAAACCCTAGTATCTAGTATATACGCCAGCACCC